AATGTATCTACCTATATAGTTTAAGTTTAAAAATTTGGCTCTCAAAAGAAATTTCAATCATTGTACTGTTGATATTTGGCTCTGTTGACTAATGAGTTTGCCGACCACTGGTCTAGAGCTACCAGCAGCCTTGCCAAGAAGATGCGTCTTCAATAAGAGAAGATTATGTCCAGTTAGTGCTATATTCCCAGAAAATCAAGAGATTATTGTTTACTCTGTTTTTTTTAAAAATATATTTTTATTGATTTCAGAGAGGAAGGGAGAGGGAGAGAGAAATAGAAACATCAATGATGAGAGAGAATCATTGATTGGCTGCCTCCTGCACATCCCCAACTGGGGATCGCGCCCACAACCCAGGCATGTGCCCTTGACCGGAATCGAACCTGGGACCCTTCGGTCCGCAGTCCGATGCTCTATTCGCTGAGCCAAATCAGCTAGGGCTGTTTACTCTGTTTTTATGATAGTTGGTAATATATAGAAAGCCTCATTCTTTCTTAAAATATTTTCTTGGATTCTTACGATACTTAAAATCATCTCCCTAACTCCCCCTTTTCTATAGAATCATTGAGGGTTATGACTGGACTTGCTATCATGTACAGGATCATCCACCCACCAGGATGAAACCAATTCACTCCAGTGGCCTGAGTCATTCAGTGGAGGCCAGGTGGCAATGTCTCAGCTGGAGGCCCTAGGCTATGCTGTAGTCGTGACTGCTCTCTTCTCCCTGCCTGGGTGATCTCCTTTCCAGGCCACAGACTTTTTTTTTTCAAGAAGGGAAAAGGATTTATTAGCCCACTTCCAGGACAGGGACCCGGGCGGTGGCTGGGTTCATGTTCTCACATTCAGAGGGAAGAGGCAGCAGTGAGACCCGCCTGACTGCCTTCACTCCTTCTGACGTGCACAGCTTGGTGTTCACAGACCCCTCTCCTCCTGCAGGAGGAACAGGACTCGGGATGCCGACTTGGGAGGGTGCGGGTGGCTTGACTTTACTCTTGGCCTTTACAGTCAGAGCTTGGGCTGGGGATCCAGGGCATCAGCCATTCAGTTCACAAGGAGCGACACTTGGGTCTAAAAGGAACGGGCCATGGGGGCTCGCAGGTCAGCTGCACCAACCCCACTGCTCGGCTGCTCCCACTCTGTGAGGCTTCCAGGTGATTTTGACTTTATTTATAAACAAGATGAAAATCCAAGCAGCATTAATTTAGAGCAGTGGTTCTCAACCTTCCTAATGCCGCGACCCTTTCATACAGTTCCTCATGTTGTGGTGACCCCCAACCATAAAATTATTTTCGTTGCTACTTCATAACTGTAATTTTGCTACTGTTATGAATGGTAATGTAAATATCTGATATGCAGGATGTATTTTCATTGTTACAAATTGAACATAATTAAAGTATAGTGATTAATCACAAAAACAATATGTAATTATATATGTGTTTTCCGATGGTTTTAGGAGAACCCTGTGAAAGGGTCGTTCGACCCCCAAAGGGGTTGCGACCCACAGGTTGAGAACCGCTGATTTAGAGGAACAAAAAGGCTTTAAAAACAAACATGGAGTGGCAGGACAAGGAGTTGGTGAGCATCCAGAAGAGGAGGAGGAAGTAGAAAGAGCCAGTATTCCACCCACTGCCAGACGTGCTTCTGCATCTCTGCGGCTGGGAGCCCCTTCCTTCCTGCTCCTTGGCTGGTGGCCAGACAGCCCAGGGGACACTGAGTGATTTTAGGATGAGCCCGGCAGCCCTGTCTGGCCACTGACATGAGGACTGCATGAATTTACCGCCATCAACCTCCCGCGTCACCGCCACCAGAGTGAAAAGCTTTTAACTCTCCTGTCCAAAGTCCTCTGAGAATTTCTTCACTTTCAGGAGGTCATCTGCATTCACTGTGGGCCGGGTGGTGGCCAAAGACTGGAGCATGTCTGACATGCAAACCACAGGCTCTAAGAGTTTGTCACTAGGGACATCCATCCAAGTCATCTCCATGGCCCCTGGGTCCCCTGGAGAGCATGGGGTCAGGAGGTCACCGGTCATAATGTTAGGGTTGGTGCGGGAAGGGCCACAGACCTTTCTGAAGTGTGTTGCTGACTGTACTTTTCTCACGGGCTGCGTGAGGGAGTCCCGCACAATGATGCTGATGTCTGCACCTGAGTAGCCCTCTGTCTTCCGGGCCAGCTCCTGGATATTGGCGTCCGTGAGGCTGTGTGGCATGCTGCCCAGATGCAACCGGAACATCTGGGAACGGGCAGCCTCCTCCGGCAACGGGATGTGAATCCGCTTTTCAAACCTCCTTCTAATGGCTGAATCCGACACCCAGGGGATGTTTGTGGCACCAAGAACCAGAGTCCCATCGTTGTTATTCCCCACTCCTTACATCTGGACCAAGAACTCTGTTTTGATCCTTCGGGCAGCCTAGCTCTCATTTTCATTGCGGGATCCGCAGAGGGAATCCACCTCGTTGATGAAGATTATGGAAGGCTTGTGCTGCCTGGCCAGCTCAAACGGGTTCTTGACTAGCTTCTCACTCTCCCCCAACCTCTTAGACATCAAGTCTGAGGAGGATACAGAGAAGAAGGTGGAGTTGTTGGCCTCTGTTGCCACCACTTTGGCCAGGTAGGATTTCCTGGTGCCGGGGGGTCCAAAGAGCAGTATCCCTCGCCAAGGGTACGCTTGCCTGTGAACAAGTGTGGGAATTTAATTGGCAAAATGACAGCTTATTTGAGGGCCTCCTTGGCCAACTCCAGCCCGGACA